AAGACATGGAGTTGACTATGAAGAAATATATTATCTCATAAAGGTTATCATCACTTTTAGATTTTTAATTAGTTTGACTGTGTTACAAAGACTCGACATGCGCCTAATGAATGTAGTAACTACCTAACTATATAGTTCACTTGATAGTGACAGATACATGAAAGTTCCTGAATGACTTAAATTGCTAGAAATAAATTATACATGCCAAATAACTGTGTTCTCAATTAAATTGTAAAGATCATTATATGGATTGAAATAATCTGGACACGTGATATAATCACTTTAACGAATATTTTTTGAATGAAAGATATAAAAATGAAGATGTGTGCTCATGTGTTTTCATAAAGAAAATGAATATTGAATTTGCAGTTATGATAGTTTATGTTGATATTTAAATCTAATTAAAACTCTTGAAAAGCTCAACAAAATTGCAGATTATTTGAAAAATGAATTTTGAATAAAAAGATTTAGGAAAAACCCATTTTTTCCTTAGGTTGTATATTGAAATTTCCAACAAGGATTACTTCAATCTTCTTACACAGAAAAAGTTCTAAAAGATTTTTATATGGATAAATCACATCCATTGGCATTACTTATGGTTTTTCGATCAATTGATGTGAAAAAAAGATCAATTTCATCCAATGAGATATGGAGAAAATATTATTAGCCTTGAAGTAACATATCTTAGTACAATTAAGGTATTAACATATCTTACAAATTGTACTAAACCAAATATAACTTTTTCATTACCTAAAAGATATTATTGATATGAGATTATTTTATTCTAAAAAATAGGTATCTTCTTTAGTAAGATATATAGATGCATACTAATCCACTTAAGCTAAATTGCAAACAATATGTATGTTTATATGTGGTGGAGCAACTCTGTCTTGGAGATCTATAAATGAAACCTTGACATCAATATCTTTTAATTATTCTGAACTTATTGCAATCCTTGAGGCAAGTTGAGAATGTATATGGTTGTGAAACATGACTAATCATATCCAAGTATCATGTGCATTAGCTTCAACAAAATATAGTCCAACAATATTACATGAAGATAATGCAACTTGTATTGCACAACTCAAAACATGCTATATAAAAGGAGATGGAACAAAGCATATTTCTCCAAAATTCTTATATACGCATGAGTTTTAGAAAACTAATGATATTGATGTTCAAAAAATTGGCTCAATTGATAATGTGATCGACTTATTCACAAAAGCATTACCGACATCTACATCCAAGAAATCGATACAAGAGATAGGAATGCATCAACTCAATTATTTACGGTAATCAATATCAGGGGGAGTAACTATACTCTTTTTCTTTCGCTTAGATTTTATCACACTGAATTTTTTTTTTTTTTTGGCAAGGTTTTAATGAGATAGCATTTATTCCTAATACTAAAAAAAATATTGTACTCTTTTTCCATCGTTTGATATTTTCGTCCCGCTAAATTTTTATCAAACAAGATTTTAACGTGTCAAATATTTTATAACATGACATTCAAGGGGGAGTGTTATAAATTATATATTTATTAGTGAATGATCATTATATTCCCACAACCCTTATTATAACTATTGTATCTCTTGCAGACCTAATTTTTCTACTTAAATATGATATTTTGATTCTCAATAAAATATACATAAGTTCATTGACTTTTGTGTATTCTCTTCTCCTTTTCTCTTAGTTTATAACAAATAAACTATTATTTTTGCTGAAGAAATTATTTAAATGGGGAATGTCCTATCTCTAGTGCAGTTGGAGCTACAATTTTTGTTATTCAACCCTTGTTTGAGCCCCTTTTTAGGAGAAATAGATTTTGTAATAGTGCGTTTTTGAATAATTTGTGGTTAAAATGTATAAAAAATAATAATTTGAGTTTACATGTAAAATTATTTTATGGGAAATGTATGGTTGAAAATGAGTTTGAGAAAAAATAATTTTTTGAAAAAATTGGGCTCAAACGGCTACTTAATTTAAATTTGTTTTTCTTATAAGAATTGGAATTCACTATTTTTTTAATTTAAAATAAACAAATTATGAATGTTACATAATATTTGTGACTTTTATGAGTTAATTGTCCCGATAATCACTAAACTTATTATTGTATTTGCTAAAGTTTCAGAAGTCGAGTTTTGGCAACTAAAATTATCAAAATGTTGGACGTTACTTATGGCATGATATCCGTTTCACAACTCTAACGAAATTTATGATATGGCAGACAAAATGCACAGGTGACCCCCAAACACCGTTATGCAAATTGTCATGTAAAAAAAGCATCTTCGATTGCTCGCTATACTTTTAAAGACGTCTTTGATTACTCATTATATTTTAATATGGTCGAATTTTGGCCACTAAACTTGTGAAACTGATGTCAACCTGTCCAAAAAATTTAGAAATGTTGTTCAAAGAATCACTTGCATAACAACAAAATTTAATTTTACAACAAATTTTGATCTATATTCAAAGCTAAATTTTTTAAAAGAAACCCAAGAATAGGGGCTAGAACTTGCGAAGCTACGATTCTAAACCTTTGTTTGATCCCCATTTTTTAAAAAATATATTTTTCTATCTTCTTTTTAATTATACATTCTTTAATAAAATAATATTATACGCAAATTCAAAACTTTTTCTTATTTTTTAACCACACATTTTACATCAATATATTATTCTAAAATGTATTCTATACAAAAATAAAAATAAAAAAATGAGACTCAAACAAACCCCAAGACATATCCATCCATCCATCCATATTAAAGCAAAAACATCTTAGGGTGCGTTTGATTGCGATTGTGAAAAATGGGTGGAAAGAAAATGATTTTCAAATTGTCTAGAAATTATTTTGCAGGGAATTTTTAATTAAGTGTGTTTGATTAGTATAATTTTCCACCCGAAAAAAATTTGAAATTTTGGATTTTTTTTTCATGTTTTGCTTTATTTTACATAGAAATTATCCATTAAAATGAATTTTTTTTTTTTTT